AATGAAGTGTCTTAATATGAATGCAAATGAAAACAAAATAATAGGTTCTTGACTGGATTATTTTTTTAACGAGAACGAATTTGATATTTAATAATTGCACTATTATGAACTAAATGTTCGTGGAAAAGTATAAAATGACTCTAAATACTCACTAGCTTTGAAAAATTATAGCCACAAATGCGCTTTAATAAAAAGTTAGCTAAAAAATCAAAAGCTCAAGTATACGATGTTTGTATCACTAAAAAACCTTGATGACCAAGATTTTCTCGCATCTAAGTTTTAAAAATTTTGTTGAATTGCAAGAAACATTCGTTGCATTTGAGAAGCAGAATTTTTAGACAGAAGGGACAGTTTTATCACTAAGTGTGATGTTTTGATGCCGTAATCATAATAATAATAGTGACACAAATGATAAATAATGATAATATTTATCTGAAATTAAGATAACGATGAGAGAAAGACAAAATGTGTAACAGCGAGCGGTCGATAGAATCTAAATTACATCTTTGACACCTCGGTAGGCGACAAGTTGACACAGCAAGGAAGGAGGTTGCACGCTGTCTTTATTGTTTTCGGGCACTTATAATAATCTACTTTAAATTACTATCACTAATATCATTTTTGTTTTCGTTTTCATTGTTATCATCCCTGTTATTATTAGCATTATTACTGTGATAATTTTGAGCTTAAAATTTAAAAAATTAAATTAGCACTGATTGGTAATAAATACTTTTTCTCGGGTCTACATGTTGATCGCGAGATACATGATTACACGCAGCAGTCTCATAAACTTGTCATCACTTTACACAGTCTCTAACTATACTCCTATCAATGTCATCATCAATTGCTACTTGTGGAACTTAATTACAATTAAGACAAATCTAATCAAGTGTCCACAAGTACTAATCCATGTTTTTTATGTTTATTGTAACTAGCATAACTTATAATTGAAATTACGTGGACTACTTGGTAAAATGCTGGTAAATGCGTGTAAAAGGCTTAAAATTTATTAAGTAAAAAAAATTATAAGTTCACTTACACTTTATTTCTGAAAATAATACATTTTTTTTAAATACAAAAAAAGACATTTGCATATTTTGAGCTTTTGCAAATGCAAGCGAGCGAGATGCAAAAATTGTTCATTTTTGTGACCACAGATATTTTTTCAACTTCACCAGTTCTGCTACTTACAGATTTCAGTTGAGAACAAACTTAACTTTGAATGCCTGAGTAGTTGGGATGATTTTAAAGCATTTCATAATTTCCAAAAATTAATGATAATAGTTATTAATAAGTAATAGCAGTTGGTTTTGCCATAATTTGTTTAAAAAATTGAGTATTCGCAAATTTTAAAATATTAAATATATGTTAGTGATATTTAAAAAGTATGGCATTAATAAATGGCTTGACTGTGTGGTGATAACAAATCAAAAGTATATATTTGCAATTGTTTTGTAAGTAATAAACGTGAAACTGTCACTATTTGAATGCTGCAAATTATTGTTTTTGGGAAAAAGCATATTTCGATTATAAATATTTCTGCGATAAAATATTTTGAAGTATGAATATATTTTTACAAAGTAAATCTTCTTCATGCAAAGAGTTAATGCATGAACAAATTTATCAAAATTACTATTATGAAAATGAAAAATTTTGGTACCTACAACAAATTTGAAAAAGCACAATGCTTCATTTGTTGAAGCATTGTGCTTTTTCAAATTTCTGAATCTGTCTAAATCTGGTTTCTGATTTTATATTTCATGCGTTATTGCACCTTTGGTTTAGTTTACAGATAAATTTTCGTACTGTTGAGTTAATCACTGCTAACATACATTTAGATTTTATTTCAGCAATACAAACTTCAAAATTATTTCAATGGAAAACCACCAAAGTCTCAGTTTTTACCTCAGGACAAAAGGTATTATTTTTTAAATTTTTGAATTGCAAAATATCCCACTCAACCACACGTATACAAAATTTTACATTGAAAATAATTAGAATCTTGCTTTTACACAAAAAACTTTATTATAAATTTACCTTAATTCAAGCGCAAAGTAAAAATCCTAAAATATTAATTAGGATTAATAGATACCACGATTGATAAATACTAAAATAAATTTTTATCACATATTACTATATATTTTAATTTTTATATTATCAATCTCAATTGAAAATTGAGCTAGCATATATTTTTCGCGACTTAATTAGAATCAAAACTGTTTTAGCACACATTTAGGACTTTATACTTCCAATTTTTTACCTGTCACAGTAATAAATTTGAAAGTACTCCTACAAGTACATAAATTATTGGTATTCAATGCTAATATGAAATTAGCATAATATTTAACGCCAATCTAATTATAAATCTAAAAATGTTAAGCTGATTCTAAGCATAGATTCAAAATTCAATCTCTTAATACTGTCTACCTTGTCTGCATATTCAAATAATTTTTGTACTATTTAATTTAAAAGTGGTCTCAACTTATATTTGCAGTCTGCGAAAAACTGCAAACAATTTTAGAAACTACAACTTATGAATCTATAAATAGCACAAAGTCATTTCTTCTAGAACTAATGAATATCTTAATTATCTGTGTAATATGAATATCTTACTGTGCTATTAACTTAAGTTCTAACGTAATACTTTCTCAAAATTTAACTTATAGCTTTACTGTGCAAAACTGTGACTTACATAAATGAAAAATATGAAATAAAAAAGTCTTCAAATTTGTGCAGAATTATTCAAAAAAACTGCTTCATTAAAGGATAAAATTGTTGTTGCATTGATTATCGGTAACTCCGCCTAAGGAATTGCGAATATCTCATATACAAAATAACATTTTCGACTACAAGAACAATTAGAAATACTATTGGTTGCTTCTTTTCAGTATACGATAGCTATAGGAAAAAAGGCGGGGCTTTCTTGATGAGAAGGTAAATGAGAAGTGGTGTGGAAGATAAGCCACCTGTGTGAGGTAGTTGTCGAATAAAGTACCGATTATTTTGGACAGAAAAAAAAGGAAGAAGTAAAGTTTATTTACTCCCAGCAGGATTTGAATTATTTTTCATGCTTCTGAAGTTGTACAGATTGTTTGGTATAAGTCAAAATCAAGATAGAAATCCAAACCAGCGTAAGGTTACTTTTTCCGCTGGGAAATAATAACTCCCGCTGATGCTCACCCCAGGGTATCAGCCACAATCACCACCAAATCTTATTCATCAACACCTCCTCCATCAGCATCATCAGCATCAACATCATCAACACCACCATCATCATCAACAGCAGCAGCAACAACAGCTTTCTTTAGGCAGTGATGGAGCTGATATTTCATCTCCTTCACCAACTACACCATTCCAAGCTAGCAATCAGCAGCTTGCCACCAGGTATTTATTAATTCCTATATTTACTCCCAAGATTAGTCTAGCTAGTTTAAAATTAAAGCTTACTTTATTTGCTAAAACAAGTAATTTCTTAACTTTGCTAAAAGTATTATTATTTTTTGTCTAAATATAAATGAACAATACAGTATAGTATCTACGCTGTATTGTATAAATAAGATTACAAATTTTATTCATGTTCTGTCGCTTAAGCCTAATGATAATAAACTATAATTATTTCCGAGCATATTTCATGATTTTAGTAACGGTGATTAGAATAGAAATTTATGTGTATACTTATTCATGTTATGGAGTACAGTAATTAGAATAATAATCGCAAAAACAGTCGATAGTATTTATAAAACTGTAATTAATTAATCATTTAGGAAAACTTTTTTATCTTATTTACTTACTGTAAATGCTGAAAAATTAACTTTTTGCATCTTCGAATATTTGGTAATTAATATTGTACGAAATAATGCGAAATATGTGAAAAAAAAAAAGAACCCATTTTCAGATCACAAAGTTCAATTTTCGAAATAATTTTTGTGTCCATTTCAAAATTATGTTTTATCGCTTACAAATACTTTATTTTTGTCCGAAATAATTTTTATTAGAGTTATTGCTATAATAATCATTTTTTTACGCATATTAATTCATTGCTCGTAAAAAATTAATTGGCACTAATTACCCTTAAGATGATATTAGCTTTGATAAATGGCGGATTCGAGCATTGTCTCCGCAAGGAAGAAAATTAGATTAGAACTATACTGAACGCACTTTTCATCCTATTGCGGAAGCAGTCGGATGATCCATTATTGACCGCAGCGCATTGCAGTGATATTTTTGATATGTGATAAATAATAAATAAATAAATAAATAGATAGTAAGTAAATAAATGAATAAATAAATAAATAGATAAATCACTTCAGAATTAATTTGTTTCTCGGAATCTTTGACTAGATTAGTTTTCTGACTTGAGGAATTATTATGCGGTAGAAATTATTTTCAAGTGCGTATTACTTTTTCCAAGTTTATAAATTTTCAAAGTCTTCTATTTGTAATGGAAATCGTTCTCCACCTCACAATCAATGATTGTTTTGCAAAGTTCTCTCGCACTGAGGTCATTCGCTCATGTTGGGTGATTGATTTAAGGCTGTGTGAAACATTTTTAGTTCTGAGCAGTTTTGGGTATGCAAGAAGAATAAGTAATAGGCATTGCTATCCGAGTACTTTAACTAGTTAACTTTTCTGAAAATAATTTATGTATAAGACAAAAATAATGCGATTTTAAATTTGAAGAGTTGCATTTTTGAAAAATCCGCAAAAAAATTAATTACTGTACTAGTATATTGCTGTGAAGAATGCTTTTTTTTAAATTATTGTTCACATTTATATGAGTTAAAAGCAAGTAAAATTAGCAAAATATGCACAAAAAATGGTAACAAAACTGGGAATTGGCGGGAAAGTGCAGTAAGCAACTATGTCTTTTCGTATCCGACCAAAGTATTTGGAAAACTTAATCCATTTAGTTGCATTTTTATCTCAACACTTGATTGCGTTGTAATTAGTAAAGTTAATATTTGATTCGCAGTCCATTTTATAAAGTCTATTATATTACAATGCAAACTGGCAAGAAAGAGTAATCTTAAATGTTAATTTGCAGATCTGTCGAACATTCTATTGCGGCTAATAAAGAAGTTGGCAACAGTATCAATTCTGGCAATGTTTGTCATACAGGAAATTATTACCAACCAATGCTATCACCCCAGTCTGCATTTGGACAGCAATTTTCCATCAAAAACGGTGTCATACTTTCAAAATTAGAAAAATTTGCATTAAAAAAGTTCATGTGTAATTATTATTTCAGAAACTGATTAATAATTGAATTAATCAATTTCTGAAATAATCAATTAATTCAAGCTTTTTTTACTGAAATTTCAGTTGCGGTACCAGAGAGTACTGGATATGGTTCACGTGGGAGTAATTTTGGTTCTGAAATGTATTTTACACCAGAGGCTATGCAAAATTCATGTTTGTTCACCTCAATGCCATCAACTGCCATGGCATCGAGTGATTACTCAAATAATTTTGCTAAATCTGACTCTGATGGATATTTTAGCCCTGCTTGTGCTCCAAATCCCTTCACCTCTTCACACTATCCACACTTTCCATTTCCCGTACAAGCAATGACTTCAGGTACCGCAAATGCTGCTAGCACATATCTTCAGAATCCCATCCAGTGCCAGTGGATTGAAGTTCGTATCAAAACTTAACATCGCTTCATTTAGTTTGAGAAACAATCTCATAAAATGATCTATTGACTTTATTATTAAGTTGATTGGTTTTTTTTAAAAAAACAGAAGATTACAATTATCTAACCGATTTTGTGGTATAACTAATTTTTTCAGGAAAAACCCACAATTTCGACTTTTATAGCTTGATTTTTCCAAAAAGCCTTAAAATTCTGTCAGTCGTTTTTCGATACAAAACCTGATCCATTTTTTTAATTCCAATACGTGTTTTACTTGTTCTCTATAAACATTACCTTCTTTTAACTGCATAGCACTAATATTTTCAATCCTTGTCCTTGATAATTCCTTTCAAAAAAACAAATTGTAGGAATCAAAAAAGTGGGAAATTCAACTTTTCTACAAATTAAATACAATGACGAATTTATTTCTAAATAAAAAAATTTATTTGGTGGTTTTATTTGCATTACTGCAGCGTGATAGAATATGTGGACGATTATTTTATTCAATTGAACATATCGTATCACATTTGCAACATGAGCATGTGGGAGTGTCTGATAGTGCCTTTCATATTTGCCAATGGAAAGATTGCTCAAGAAAAGGCAAAGTTTTCAAAGTAAGTTGTAATATACTTTTTAAGTATACTTAATGTCTAAAAGTGTTACGTTAAATCACGTATTACACTGACGCATTTCAAGCTTTTGTTTCATTTCCTACGCACGGCATAAATGACTTGATTTCTGAAAAAATATAGAAATATATTTTGACAAGTGATAAACTCTTGTTAGAACAGTAAGATAGGACTAATTTAGATCAGTAGATAAAATATGCAAATAATGGATTTTCAAGAAAATAAGCCATTGAGGATGGATAGAGAGACTAAGCTTATAGATGTTGAATCTATTAATTTCTGGTGTTCTGAACATTGATCTATGCGGTTTTCAAATTGAGAATTTAAAGCTTGCTTCATGGATTGGTCGTTCCAGAAGTTTTAGAAAAACTAAAAATTCTCACACAATAATTTTTGATGTACTTGATGTGTGAAGCATTTTTTTATTCTCAAGTTATAAAAATGTCTGGTAGATTTCAATTTTCAAACTTTTAATGGAAATCAAATCTGTAATTTTTGTAATTTCAGTCTAAATAGTGATTCCACATTTTCTATCTGCAAAGTATATATAACTTATAAATTTATAAATTTTTAATAACTACGAGAATAAGTGTGCTAAGCAATTTGAACATAGCTTAAAGTTAATAACTTTACTTTACGAACCATTAAATTTCAAATAGTTCTTTTTGGGAGTGATTAAAATGCACCTACTACTTGATTCATCTTCGGAAAAATATCCATAACTACGCTTATCTAATTGTTTTTTTGCTTTTCTGCTTCGATTAATAACTCTGTGAAATTTCCTTCTAGCCACTGACATTATCAATAATTTACTCAAATTTTGCTCCTGAAAGTGTATTTTAGGCAAAATACAAACTTGTGAATCATATTCGAGTACATACGGGTGAGAGACCTTTTCCATGTACAATGTGCTCAAAAGTTTTTGCAAGAAGCGAAAACTTGAAAATTCATCAGCGAACCCATACAGGTTGTTAACTCATTACTTATCGCATCATTATAATTTACGATATTTATCACTGCAAATTGGGTATTATCATTATTATTTGCTGATAATTTTTATCATGTTCTACCATGATATGCTGGTAGTTTTCCTACATTGTATAATAATAATCGTAATAGAGATATTCTTTCACTGACATCTTTGTAAATCTGTAGTGATTAAGATGCATTGACCGTTGAAGTTAAGCTTTTATTATTCCACTCTTCAATAATCCACTCATGAAGAAAATCGCATAATACACCAGGTGGATTCCCGTTACCTCTCCTCTTCACTTACTATAAGCATATATGACATTTTCATCATTCTCTTCATGATCATTATAATCATTAGTATCTGCCTTTTGTCAAAATTAATTCCAATATGACATTTAATGCTATTAATTGAAATAAGATTACCGTTTTAGACTGTAAGACAAATCCATGGAATGCATATCAAAATGCATCAATTCAAATACTCATTTTTTTGCTAAAATTACGAATAAAATATTCATTTATTACTTTTTAAAGGCATATATTAATAATAATCAAATGAGTGGTTTTGTTTTAGTTTGTATTAAACGTAATTCTAACTATACATGATTTACAACCGATGGATTAAAATTGACAAATCTATTAACCAAATTCAATTAATTCAAATTTCAGAATTAGAAGAATGAATTCCCTCATCATTCAATTTGTGGATATAATATTTTAATAGTTTCTAACTGATTTTGAAAACAGTCAGAAGAACAGAACACTCTTAATCTAATTGAAGTCTAAGACTTTCTTCTGACTAATTAATCATCACACTAGCTTCAAAAAATACTAATTACTGCTGAAATGATCGACAATTATTAACAATTATTAATCAGACGTAAATATGAACATTTTTAATCGTTTTCAAATTTTTCAAACAAAATTGTCAGTTTTGTTCATGTTATATCAGTGTAAAAAATAATATAGTACAAACTTGTCAATTAATTTTTTATTGCATGAATAAATTCAACCAGCATCGCAAGAATTGTTTCTACGATTAATTTGTGCAATAGCAATGATAGTATTAATAATAGTGCATCAGTAGCAGTACAGAAAGTAACTTAACACCTGTCCATTGCATCAGCTGAAAATCAAATAAATAGAACATTTAGATAAACCTGTAATTTGCTCTCTTAATAAAACTAATAATTATTTTCTCACCTTTTTGGTTTAACTTTTTTGCTTTCTTTTACATCTAAAAATTTTTTTCAAACAATTTCATCTGAAGACATAATAATCTTAAAGGATTGTGTATAAATTATGAATACATTATGGATGCAAATTTCATTAGCTGAAAAAACTTGCACGTTAATTGTTGATTTTGTGCAAATATCCATAGTTTGAATTTAAAATTAAAACTAATTATTCACGGGCGAAATAAATATTAATTTGTATTCTTTGTCAGTAAACAGTCTGTAAACATTTTGATTTATGAATATAAAACAATTTAAAAAATTTATCATTGGAACGATTCAGTTCAAAAACAATGAATGATTTTCGTCTTGAAAAGTAATATTTTATTTTTTTCTGAAATTTTATAACAACTTTTTGTTTCAAAACATTTAAACTAGTTTTTACCCCTGCAATATTTTGCTTTTGATTTTAGCCATTTATTACTACGGTAATCCTTTTTCATAACTGAATCATACTTGAAATAATTGATGCCTATCACTCCACAATGTTCAGAAACAATGTAATTCTGAAGTAGTTCATTATGACAAGTTGCGAAAACTTTCTTTAAATCCTTCAAAGTGATTTAAAGCAAATTCTAAAACAACTGAAAGAGATAATACTTATATCACATTATAGCACTGTTTGGGCTACTTATTGAACATCAAAGTGTTTATTTATGGCAATTTTCTGGTTTATAATGTGTTACTACTGCTCTTAGTAATAATTTAAACAAAATTATTATTATTATTGCTGAGCTTATTTTATTTGAATTGTAGTAATAAATAGAGTTGTCATTCAAAAGTTGCACAGAAATTAGAATTTAAGAAAAGCTCGCCATCTGTCTAAAGCAAAACTCATTTCATGTCTGTTCAAAAGATCATAAATATTTTTCAAACAATCCAAAATTACTGAATAACTAATTACCTTATTTGTTAATCTTGTTTACTTCTCGATGTATATTTCATTAGTTATCCATTTTTATTAATTAGTCGAAATGTTAATAAGTTTTGATTCGGACTTTTATATGTTGATGATATGATATGCTATTTTATAGGTGATAAGCCATTCACATGCACTCATCCTGGCTGTGATCGCAAATTCGCTAATAGCAGTGATCGTAAGAAGCATATGCATGTGCATACTAATGATAAGCCATACGAGTGTAAAATTAATGGATGCAAAAAATCTTACACACATCCGTCTTCACTGCGAAAGCATTTGAAGGTTAGTCTAGCAGAGATTGCACTCTGTTTCTGCGCGGTTTCTGAATTTTGGCTTTTTTCCATTTTAGTTTAAAATTTTTTGCATTTTTCTTAAATTTATACGCCTAACTCGGCAATTCAATTTGTATAAAGCATGAAAATTGGATTCAAAGAGAAAGTAAAACCTTTTATATCAAAATATCAATCAACAAGTTAGTAATACTCTTTATTCGTGGAACGCATAAATGCATTGCTACTTTGTTTTTGAGGAAATGTCCAGTTTCTGATGTGAAAGACTTCTGAGTAACTAATTCAGTGCAGCGGATAGATAAGATTAATTCTGAAATTTCGATAGAAATATTGGAAACCTCCGTAAATTATAATTAAAAAAACATTTCAGCTTTGTATTGAAAAGAAACTATTCAAACTTTTTTGCATTGATAAATTTGTTGTTTTCTGATTAGCAAGGCGAAATCAAAAGTTTAGTTTAATTTTTTGCGAGTTCTGCATGTTTATATTAGTTTTCATTTCAAACTCCGGATTTCAACTCTTTATCAGGTCAGTTACTTTTTAAACTTTGCTTTCCTTTCAGCAGCCAGCATTTTTTCGCTGCTTAATGAGTAAATGCTTAATGAGTAAACTTAAATTTTTCCATCTTTTTGAAAACCGATCAGAAATTTTTAAATTCATTTAATTAATCAGTTTTTTGCTTTATTTAGTTTCATAACTATTCAGTGCTACGTTAGAGCAATTTTCAAGCTTTACTTAAAGCTGTGTACTTAATTCAGAAGGTAATGCGCAGATGTGTTAATAATAAGTAGCGGTCATACTGCTAAAGCCTAACAATCAACAAATCGGTTTACTTTTATTGACTTTGCTTTCTTTTATAAGAGTAATTACTTCCGTTAAACTACCAAAATTATACTATTTTTCCTCCATAACTACTTGAATAAATCTTAAAGAACACAAAGAATAATGACAACTGCTAAAATTTCAAATTATTAAATCATTTTTTAGCAAACTTTCATAAAATTTATAAATAAATCATATTTTATTGTTCAAAATTTGTGATTATTTTAAATAAATTTTAGCATTTAAGATGACTTTCAGATCACTCAATACTATTTACTAAACTCTTGATAAATTTTAGCTTGCGAAAGCAAAAATAATTACAATCTCCTATTTAATTTAACTAAAAATCCAATACTGAAAATTTTGTGTATTAAAAATAAGAATCTAAACATAGCATAGTATGAGTTACGTATAACTTTTGTGCGCAACAAACAAATTCCCTCATTAAAATATGCAAATTTTCATTGGATTTTTACCTGTCCTTAGCAAGCAACAATTTTTTGACTCCTTGAAAATTAATCTCATAATTGTCCTAGATAAGGTCACTCACTGTCTATGGCTTAAATTACTGAACAAATTGTTCATATTTAACGATAAGATTTGCATCTTTCCTTGCTTAATTATTTTATTCTCTCTATTTTACTTACTTTCAGTACTATTTGAGCAGATAAATTTGTTCCGCTTCATATTTCATGCATAATGATTGACTGATTGAGATTAATATCTCCTTCACATTACAATTTTAATAATACTCTATTCAGTAATTTTGTGTCAAACTTTTAATATTATTATGTCTTATGGCAAACAAATGCATGAGAGGATAAAAGTTTTCACTTACTACCAAAATTATTTGTAGTTTCTTAAAATTCCAGAAAAATGAGATGAAAACAACAAATAATTATTAGTACATAATAATTGCATTTCATACAATGAAAAATTACCATACTTAATTATTTAATTTCTCGCTATCAATTAGTTCTTTTCCGCAATTATTAGCCTAACTTATATTGCATTCAAATTACAAATTACTAAACTTTGTGTCTTAAAATATTCATTTAAAAATTTTCACTTGTAAGTTTATAAGAATAATTTGGAAAAAATTAATTTCAAAAAAACATTTCAGACTAAATTTTCATTAATTTAACAAAGACAAAATTTCGGAAGGGAAAAATTCAAATTGAAACAGATGGATAGCGAGAGTACTGTATGCAATTGCAAATACTTCGATTTTGCATAAGTGATGAAAATTAAATTTAAAAAGCACTGATTTTCCACATCAAACAATTTTTGCGATTTTTATTGACAGCTTTTATGCAAATTTTTATGACGACGAAATTTGTAACAAAAATTTATGAATTTAAAAAAGCTAGAAAAATTGTAAAGAATAATTTACTACTCATATCATTAAGTTTGAAATTTCTCAATATTGAATCACATGCAAAATCACGTAAACGTTTGATTAAAGTTATTTATTTATTTGTTTATTTATTGTTTCTAATTGAACACTTGCAGATGTTTATTTATCTATTTATTTGAATAAGTATTGTAGTGTTCAGTTTGAAGCTTTTTATGCATAATCATAACATTTTAGGCAATTTAATATTACAATATTTTTTCAGATACACAGTAAAGGTGGCGACTGCGCATCATCTGATTTAGACGAAAGTGTTGATAATGGACAACGAAGCATTACTTGTAATATAAATCCTGTACCTGGGCCTATGAGCAGTACTGATCAGACTACACCATTTCAATTATCATCAGAATCCACAAATCGATCACTGCTTCTGAATCAGATGAGTCACCAACGATTTCCAAGGTTTCCAACCAGCACTACGGTATACATTGCATCTAATTTATTTTATCAATAAATAATATTTCTAAGCTTTGAATATTAGTCATCACAATTCTTTAATAAAATATTTACATTTATTTGCTCACTTTACTAAGATTATATAAAATCGTTAAAAGTGTCATGCATTCGATTTTGAAGAACTTCAATGCACCGTGTTATGAATAGCATTTGAGTTGTTGCTTATAATCGTTATATTTTATAAGAAGTTAGCAAAAACGTTTCATTTTATCGTTAAAATTATTTAACATCCACTGACATTGAAAAATGCCATTAAGACAAAAGTTGTGAGACTAAATCTAGAAACTATCGAGGTGAACAAAATAAATTTTTTTAGATATTAATCCTATAATTAAATTAAAAAATAAGTATTTAAATTTAAAAACAAAAAGAAGATTAATCAGTTTGTAAAAATACATAATTTGGTCAAATAATTGAAATCATAAAAAATATTCTTTATTTTATATAAAAATTAGAGTAATGTAGTTCATATGACGCAACTGAATGATTTATGAAAACTTGTTTCATTAAGTTTGATCAATAATTCAAATTTAAATATAGAATTAAGACGTGTAATCAATTCTAAAATGTTGCAAAAGTATGATTCAATTAAGACGTACTTATTCATTACAAAAATTTATGATTTCCGATTCAAATATTCAAATTTTTCACTTTACTTGGCAGTTTTTTTTGATTTCTTAAAACTTTAATTCTTCAGACAATGCAAAGTGGATTTATGACTACGAACCCCTACCCAACTGCTAATACGATGATGGCGACGAATGCAAGTTTTCAACTGCCAGACTTCCATTTTTACTCGCATTTTCCGCACAAAATGTCAATTCCACCATAAATTTACTATCATTTCTTTGAAAAAATTTTATTTGTTGTTTTTTCCAAAAAAAATGAAAAATTTGGTGAAGTCTTTGTTTTATTTAAACACACACAAAACTCTGATGCCGAGTTTATCTGAATTGCAAATTCTGTGACTAAAATTAATCTGAAAAACTTGAAGGCTCGCCAAAGTAAAATAAAGAGGACATTTTTATCAAGCAAATATACTGTTGCTTATTTGCTGAAAAAACGAAAAGGCAAGCAAAAAAACAAAACCGCCAAGTGCTTACATATCTTTCAAATTATGTCAAACAGTTTGGATAAGAACCGATATGGCCGTTTAGCACTGCCAAATGTTCTACTCAGATCAGTTTTAAGCAAATTTTCGGCCCATTGTAATCAGAATTATTTCATTCTTCAACATTTGATCTGCAAGACTTGTCTGATCTAATTTGCTGACATATTTATGAGCTATAGCTCAGCCTAAGCACACACATACTTCTTGTCTTTATTTTGCTACGGGTAATACTTATACTAATTTTTTTGATCTAATTTTTTAGTGCGAATTAAGGCTTGTTTTTTATGAAGAAAAAATTCTCTTCTCACATTATTTAATTTTTTATTTGTACTATTTGAAGGCGAAAATTTGTGCGCTGATTTGCAGTCGAATTGTGCATTTGTAATTAATTTTTGCTAAGAATACTTTTTCAATTTTGATGACAATTTATCAAAATTTTCAAAAAAACCATTGATATCTCTCCAATTTTATGGACAAAATGTTATGCGAATGCATTTAGCACTTTGTATTTTCGAATGTATCAATTAAATATGTGAACTCATTGCAAAAACCTGAGAAAAAGCTGCTTGAATTATCTTGCTGATTTTATTGTCATGTTTATCCAATCGTTCAGACTAGCGATTTCAATCACAGACTGCAGTTGCAAGTCGCAATGAACTATGTTGATTGTTCAGCAAATATAATTTTCGCAGGACAAAATTCAAAAATTATGTTGAACTAAAGGATAATTATTGCGTAATTCTGCATAATTTATTTACTTTAGTCTGTTTTTGGATAAGAATGTAAGTCGCAAATATCAATGGAAATTTTTTGTTTTTATTGAGGTCATTATTTTGAGATCTTCCATGCATAATTATTTTTAGTAAGTCAAGCAAATAATGCACAACGTTTAGAATATAAATATTCAAATTTGCGCATACTTCCGGCGGTAGAGCTATGAAAACACGCTTATAGAAACACGTGCACGTGACGCAACTTGTCAGCACTAATGTGACCTTACAACGGTAAGATAACATATATGGTAGCGAATACTTGTAATCACAACATCGTATTAATTAATCCGATCAAGCGGCATGTCTTCTTTGATGGAAGATTTACATTATTATTATGTTTGTGCAACAAATGTTAAGAGCCATGTATGACCTCAGGGTTAAAAGCAAAAACAAAATGACGCAAGTCTATTTGATAGAACACCGATCGACAATCATACGTCTTTCGCATTTAGCATAAATTTTCTCCACAAAAGTTGAATTTTAGAAATAAACCATTGTTTAACTGAATTTTTCCTGAGTGCGTTTTAAATCAAATTTATTATGCCTTTTCAACTGAAATCGAGCGCCTCACTGAGCGCACTCAAACCAGACCGAGTAGTTCTTGCACACAAATCAGAAAGCTTATTTTGAATGATTTCGCTCTGTTCTAATAAATCTTTCGTTTGCTATGCCAAGAAATTACAATCAAAACCATTCGTATTTGGAAGCTTAATTTGAAATTAAATTCATTTTTCTTGCAAGTATTACTGACAAATTCGCAATGGTATAATTCTACGTAAAAATTATTACAATCAAATGTAATGGCATTGGCATTTTAACGCTTCAAACTTGGAAGGTTGTAGTATGTATTAAACTTTTGCATATTAGTCACAAGCTATGCTTTAGACTTTCATTTATGCCTTTAAAGTGCTTTACACGTATGTGTGCACGCGTAAATGATATGAATATCTTCATATATGTGCAAATAATCTGTCCCGAATATTACGTATGTGCATATACGTGAATGCGATGCATACGTTTGTACACATGCAAATGTAAATCATGCACACAATTTAAAATATGCGCATTATACTCGACCAAATGTATAAATTGATGATATGCATACATTTCTATGTACGTATAAATATGCAGCGTACAAAAATATGCATGTACAAGAAGTGATACTTTAAATATGCAAATTTCTACATAGCCGTACACATGTGCAAATAATCTGGACAAATATGTAATTCTATATAAATGTGTGTGTATTTGTGTGAGTGTGTGCATTTGCGTGTACCCTTTTGCGTGCATATGTGATTAGTAGCGAAGTAGGTGTTAAGAAGATTGTCAACATTTTTGTCGAATTTCAGTTTCATCAAATGATTGATGATACGGTGGGAAAGTGTAAATGTGACCGCAAATCACAGTAATTCTTACTGCCAATGAGTTATAATGTCGTATTATAATAATATTTCGTTTTACTTTGGAAGGGACCTTTTAATATTTAGTTTACAATATGTAAATTTTATGACATTATTATTATCACTTTAATCTTTACTGTTATTACTTCTATTATCATAATATATTTTACTATTATTATGATCATTATTTAGTGCTTCTGAGCTTGTTGCAAATATCTGCATAAATTATTGTGCCTTTGATCAATAATGTTCGGAAAGGGATCTTTCAATCATGACTTATATTGACCTTGCAAAGTTAGATAATGATAAATAAGTAAGGTTAATAAGTAGAAACTGGCCTTCATCTGCTAAACTAATTCAAATCGATAGTGATAAAAAGTTTGTAATCTGACTTAAGCAGCATTTCAACAATAATAAATGCATTACATTTAAAGTAAATCAGCAAGGTCAAAGTTCAAAAATTAAAAAAGTATTGCACTAATGATTACACAAAAGAGCTGATCAAGAATCTGTTAATTTGTGGCTCTGCAAATTAATAATGATTACTGCAGAGTTACGAGACTTTGATAGTAGCAAACAGAATAAAATTAATAATTTTAATGCTATCAAAATGGTTTAGATAATACCAGTGATCAATTGAAGTATCGAACTGTAGTCGATCTTTTGATTTTTCTAATTTATTGATTTTTTAGTCAAAATAATCAGAAATATATTTCTTGCAACGAGATTGGCATTGAAATTGTTGATAAAATTAGATTATTTCTATGGCCCCATTTGATGCTAACTGCTATTAGTTAGCTTAGATTGATACACAACTGCTAAGGTTTCTTAACTTTCGCCTTTTTGAAAAAACACTGAAAGTGCTAAATAAATAAATATTAATTATAATTTTTTCAATTGTTGCTTTTTTGGAAAAGTTAAAATTAAAGCATTTACAAAAGCTAATTAAATTTTGATAAGTTCTGAATCAAATATGAACAGTATCAAATATGACTGATAATTTTTTGAGCACTGTAATAATGACTTGCAGAGAGCAAATAAGAATATTTGTTTACTTGAAAATAAAAGTAAACTAATGCAAAATCATTTTATCCATTAATGCGATCGGTAATTTGTGGCAATTACAGAACACATTTTTGAAGAAAAAAATGCATTAATTAAAAGTAAGTAAATGCTGAGTAGAAACCAGTCGCGCAGCAAATTAAAAATACAGAAAGATCGACTACAAATCGCTACTATTAATGGTATTTTATTTTTGTAGATTAGATGAATGAATGAATGAATGGTTCAAAGAGGTCAAAAAAGCGGTCGACTGGTCGGAATGTCTTTTCCGCGCACGTAAAGTTTTTAACGTTTGAACAAAAGGATTGATTGCTGGATCAGTTCATACCGTTGTTCCCACAACTCTTCTCATTAATCGCAGTTTTTTTCACTTCAAAATACTTACGAAAACTCGTTTTATTTTAATTCAACGCATGCAAATTTCAGTATTTCTATCACAAAAAAAATCGTAATGGTAACGAGCAATTTTGTGCAATTTTTCATGCAAAGTCTTACTTCAATTTGGAAAATTTGCAACTTTTAAATTAAAAACTTGTTGTATTAAAAACTTTCAAAGTATGTCTAAAACAATGTTATGTCTAAAATAAACTTTGAAAGTCATAAAATCTGAAAAAATTCAAACAAAATTTAAATTTAAGCATTTCAATAACTAGCAATACCTTCCATATATATTTATTCAAGATTCAGATTTAGCCTTGCTTAACCTCACGTAAGTACGTTTATATTTTTCACTAAACACATTAATGAAAGTCAAAAGCCACGCTATGAAAGCAAAGTATTATCATCATAAGCATTATGTTTCTTAACTAATTAGTGAGTCTTGTAAAAATGAAATCACTTTCTAAAATATAAAAATGTGCTAAATTTTCAAAAATATTTTAAAACGGCAAAAATGAAATGATTGCTTCAAACATCAGTTTTCAGCAAATTGTGATCGCATTGGTAAATTTGAAAGTTAAAGTTTTTCCAACATGATTATGCCATTTATTGTATCCACACGAAATTTCAAATTATTTACTTAGTTGTTTGCAAAGATTGATAATTCACTAATTAACAGGGCAAAACTTTGACTTGGATGCACGACATAAAAGACTAATTGTATTCATCAAATTACAATTGTACAAAATAGTTTATCCTCCAATGTGCAAAACTAAATAGGCTTTATTCTGTCTTGAAGTCTGCAACAGAACTGTTTTTAATATTGGTATGCGTACAAAATACCAAAAAAGTGCACTCAAATTGGTAAATTTTGATTAAAACGCTAAATAAATATTTATCACTGCCACTTGTGTGGCATTTGCTTACTACTATAAGGATTTGAGTTCAGCAGCGGACTGCTTTCTTCCTTGTATGAATTGGGCGATCTGCTCGATTCTCGTACCCACGCCGAAGCTGCAAAATTACTTCTCACTTCACTATTGTTACTTCTGATTAGCGCTTTCTTCTCTAAATCAATGCATACAAAATTAGAGCCTCCAGTGCACTTTTGTTGATTTACTGTGAAGCGACTGAATCATTGTTTCACAACTTATCACTTGAGGTTTCTGAAGGTAAAAACAAGTGATCTGAGTAATCTTGTTAATTAAAAGCCTTCGTTCTCGATATTTGTTGTCATTTGGCAGAGTCAGTGATCGATCATTGAAATGGAAGAAATTTTAAAATATAATTACACCTGAATTAATATTACACATATGTTTTACTTTTACATCGAATATATCAACAAGCTACACTTTTTCTGAGCACTCGCAATGAAGCGTTGTGCAGCCCTCTAAACTGAAGATGAGATGACATTTATCAGCATTTAAGTGATCGTACTGATATGGATGGATATGGATAGCTAATTACCCATTCTCAATTTGACTTAGCGCTACTTACAAATTTTCTGCTGACAATTCATTTGCTCATAAAAACTTTATTGTTATTAGCATGCTAAGAGTAAGAGTTTTAGTCTCAACTCAATAAAGTAACTTACACTGAAACTGTCACTCATTAATGCGAAGGTAGTAATTTTTTGCACTGAATCTTGCAATTCTTACATTCAAATTATGCATTTACAATGAATTTTAAAAAAGATTTTCAAAAATTTTTTTAAATTTGAAAGGCAATTATGCGAAATAATGCAAATATTTTTTGGCTCCAAGTCATGCAGTCAAATAATCAAAAGTGCCATCACTTGAAAAATAATTAATTAATTGATTAGAATACTATCATTCCAGACTGACTGAAAGAAACCACTATTACGTTCACTTTTAATTAACTTGAACTAATGGTAATATTTAAATTTGCTGAATTTACCATCGCCATTCAGTAGAATTTGTTTGTGAGACTTTACAATTCAGTAAATTATAGAAATTTGATATCAGTTATTTGAATTATATACAACGCCAAGTATCATTAAACATACCATTTGGTTTACTGTTATAAAAACCAGTCTGATCATCACCACTTCTATTAGTGAGGTTGCTACCATGTGATGATTGTAGTTTATCATTATTATGGTCAAAAGTTTGACTATATTCATTTTCAGTCTTTCTGCGCGGCAAATCACTTGATTTTAGTTTTGGTGAAAATGCTTCATTCTCAACCACAAAATACCCTGTTTTTGCAATGTAAGCAATAGCTAAGCATGATTTACTACCTTCTCGTTCACTGCAAATTTATTTTTAAACAAATGATTGTTAAACATTTTATAATTACTTTTTATTTTCTTACTAAAGCATCAGTTTGACATCAAATTGCAAAATTTGAAAATTTCCGAGACAGACAAGCCTTATTAATCTAAGTTAATAAAAAGTTGTGGAAACGAATTAAAAGATTGATCTTACTGTCCAAACTGTGCGTTGGCAAGTAATTCACGACTTGGTCTATCCATTTTAATAATATCCATGATAAACTTCCTAACCTTTTCTAAATCATATTCGTACCTGAAAATGTTTAAAATAAATAAGCAGCATTATGCAAATTATATATACGCTAAATACGTACGATAATAAAATATTTGAATCTTTAACTAAATTTTATTCAAAAAAGATTAACGCTCGTACATTACTATTTGTTTTTGATTCCAACGTTTAAAACATTCAAAAAAACAAATGTGGTTAAGCGGTGAATGATAACAAAATGTTCAAGTTCTTGGCGAAAATTTTAAATATTTTAGTCATGAAATATTTTTGTTGACATATTAAATATATGCAAATTCTATGGAACAAAAATTACACTATGTTTGAATTCTTAGCTAAAATCTATCTTAATAAACACATTTTCCGAATTATAATCATAAATTTGAGTTAAAATTAAGTTGGAGTGAAAAACAACAATTATGAATTGGTTGGTTAAAAAATAATTGGACTGTAGCAATCTTGCGCAAGAGTCATTACAGATTGATAGATGAATAGTAATTACAAAATGATTATTAAGTGATTAGAGAAAATTGATAAGCATTGGATTTTATTAACTTAGTTTTGATTCATCAGAAGGAAATAATTCAATTTTAGCAATAATTATCGTTTTTTGGAACTTTGTGATTCTGCTTACTTTAAGTAAAAGTTAACAAACTTACCTAGTTGGATTAATCCCAAATACGAGATGTGTTATAAATGCAACAGCTCTCAAACCACAGGACCAGGAATCATTTTGCGTACTCAGTCCAGTCTCTACTGCTACTTCAATCAGTTCATCGTCATCGTACAAATGTGCAAACATTATCAAAATCTGTTCACGTACGCTTTCATTCAACTATAAATCATTAATACTCAAGAATCAGTGCATTATGCTAGGCATGAATTACATTTGTACAAAAATAGAATGACTTAAATGTAGCTTTAATTGGTTAAATTGCCAGTATTCTCAATCATTAAGTTATTATAACTGTACGAAACAGTTAAACATGAAAGCAAACACATAAGAAACTTTTGAAACTTTTGAAAAAAGTATTTTTCACGTATTTATTAAATTTAAAAGCACTCACAAACTAGAAGTTTTTTGCATAACTTTTGTCAAAAGTCATGCAAAAAACATATTTTAGCGCTTTTTGGTAGAATCTGTCTCATTTCAAGCCAATTAAGGAATTTAAAACGTAAATGATTTTATGCCACAAAAGCTCTACAACGGTTTCACAGATAAATACCGAAATGTAGCTCGAAGCTTT